CCCCTACGAACTACACCTCGTCATCGTCATGAACATCAACAGCATGGACATTATTCAAGAATCATGATGAACATCATCCACAAATCACCATCAGCATCATCATAAAATCATCCTCCACACTTGCTCTTAAACATGTTCAGGCAACTCTTTGTTTCTCGGTATTTACAGCACTTTCGTCATGTAGGATCATCTTGCGAAGCCTCAAAGTGGACTTGTCGAGTTTGCAAACTCGAGCTTCGGATTTTGGACTTGCTTTTTTGTGGGGGTGGTGTGCGCGCGAAACAGTGTCGTGGTCATCCCCGAAAAAATCTTCCTCCACCCAATTTAGAGTTTTCGCCGCAAGCCGTTCGAGACACCTAACGCACAGTCCAGAAGTAGGGGTGGCAACTATATATGAAATTACGACATCACGGAAGTACTGTAAATACTGAGTAAAAAGGCTCTTGTCGTGATCTTGTTGGTTGTGTTTGCGTAATACTGTCGTCATCCCACTCAAGATGGTTTAAAGCAATTTTAGTTGGTAGGGGGGCCTACTACTACTACTACTACTACTACTACTACTAGTGCTACTACTACTACTATTAATACTTCAACTACTACTATTATTGTTACTATTACTATTACCATTACCATTACTATTACTATTACTATTACTATTACTCTTACTCTTACTATTACTACAACAACTACTACTACTACTACTACTACTACTACTATTACTATTACTACTCTACTACTACTACTACTACTACTACTACTACTGCTTCTACTACTACTTTTACTACTACTACTACTACTACTACTACTACTGCTACTACTACTACTACTACTACTACTACTACTTCTGCTTCTACTGCTACTACTACTACTACTACTACTACTACTACTGCTACCACTACTACCACGACTACTACGACTGCTACTATTACCGCCTGCTACTACTACTACTGCTACTACTACTGGACTATTGTTATTACTACTACCCCTACCACTACTTCAACCATTACTATTATTACAACAGGAGGGACTGCCATGGGGCCTGGGTTTTTGCACACCACACTTTCGCATACTTCTCGGTAGTTGTCATTTTGGATTGCGTTGCATGCTCCCCGGCAGGCACGGAGGGGCCCTCTGGAATGTCTGGAGACCCCAAACTTCCTCAGCCCCACTATCAAAACCAAGAAAACCAAAGACAATGAAGACACCAAAAATAACAAAAAGCTCGACTAGTGTGAAAATGATGATTGTGTTTTGGTTTCTTTGTTGTTTTCGGTGTTTCGGTTTTTGCCACAAGTGACGCGCACGCACAACCTCACGCTGTGGCTTTTTTTTGGGTTTAAGGTCTACTTAAACAAGACGACTGTCTAATCTATCTTATGATATCTTATGTTATGCTTATGAGGAGTCCGGCTGCCGCATGAGTAGCTAGTCTAACCCCACCCACACGTGCACGTGCCAAACACCAACCAAAACGGAGAGCACGAGCACCGGCACCAATTGCACAAACCTTACCGCAAAATCCGCTGCATCCTTGTCTACCCTCCATGGAAGAACATGCCGAGCTTATGTAGCAGACCACACGACCTGAATTTGCTTGTTTTTTTCTGGTTTCTTCTGCATATGAACTGCATGATCTGTGGGGGTTGCGTATGAACACGCTTACCTGTTCGTGAACACAGACTTGCTTCGGAGAAGTGAGCAGCTGGTAGAAACACTGTGTCTACGAACAGTTCAAGGGTCCAAGCACCGTGTAGACCATAAGGATACATCAAGGATAGTCACAAGGATGGAGGGCATCCAGAGGGGGCCTGCCTGGACCATAAGGAATCGTGGAAGCCCTACATATCTTCATATTCCCTACTTAACGTTTCATATACCGCCGCACCATGTCATAGAATGGATGTAAGCTGCTCTAGACTCTGCCAATACTATTCACTGGACTGCAATATGAGTTTACTGGGAAAGTCCAGTCCACACCAGGAGCCAAGAAGTATGCTTGTTATATCCGCATATTACATCACCGGCATACATGCGCATACACACACTGGTCTACGCATGGATGATGTAACCCACCTCTTAACTTGTGTACCTACAGGCTGAATAGAACCCTGATGCAGCATATGTTACTGCAACGCACAAAGCACATGGGCATATATGTTCGCCAATTTGCAGAAATACAATCTTGCGACAGTCAGTGTAACCGTGCATTGTTTGTAGGGCGCTTCATAGCAACTGATTGAGTCATATTGAAATATTAAGATCTATGCTATAATAAAGACTAGACTGAGCATTCACACAAACGCACAGACCTTTACCGAGTCAGGGCATAAGGGAATCAGAGCACGGCAAGGCTCTGCACCTTGTAGAGTAAGCTGGAACGATGTGAGGAGTAGTTGCTTCAATGTTAATATTAGTTCATTTCGCCTACAGGCTGCGGCATATCTGCTGTGCAACTTGTATTGTGGTAGTAGAGCATCCCATGGTAGTGCAAACACATAAACAGTACTTGCACAGGCTCGTGCGTGTACGTATCCCTGTATGAGTAAAGGAAGGAATGCCCGTGCTTCTGTGTGCGTTGTTACGACGCCATAAAAGCAGTTGTGTATGCGTGCTCCCCAACTTGCAGAAACACAGTCTTGCCATAGTCATTGTGGCTGCGTCGTATTGTGAAACCCCTCATAAACAAGTCATTCTGACATACTGAGATATTTCAATACAGACTCAACTGAGTACTCACACAGACACACAGACCTTCACCGAGTCAAAGTGGCAACTACTGAATATGTGTTGTTTAATTTCGTTTGAAAGTGGACTATTGTTTTGCGGTAGCAGAGCATACCACGGAAATGCCAACACAAGGTACAGGCTTGTGAATTTATTCCTGTGTGCATGTGTAACTGTAAGAATGCAAATACCCGTGCATTCAAGTGTATACGCATGTACATATACAGCATGATGCATACTGTTACACCTTCGTGAGCAGTTGCATGCATAGTTGCTTGCGTGCATAGCATAAACTATATGACTCCGAAAACACAATGTTCAATAACCAAGGCCCCATGTTACTACTGTTCCTACAACTACTATTGCTACTACTACTACTACTACCACTACTACTACTAGTACTACTACTACTACTACTACTACTACTACTACTACTACCTGCTACTACTAC